GGGGGGGGGGGGGGGGGGGATGCATGCGCGTGCACACGCACACACAGAGTTTTGTTTACAGCCTTAGTGCTGCCTGCTTGTATAGCAAGATGCTAACTGGTAGGTGACTTCTCTTGGATAATACAATAACACGTATCTGCATCATCTAACTGGAGGTCCACATGCAATCTCACATTTCTTTTTAATAAAACCTCATTACTTAGCTGATTCAACAACAGTAAGTGAAAATGGAGTTGCCCAACATCCACCGACACATCTGCAGTGCCTACTTACAGTGAGTGACATCACAAAATAACATGTGTGCCTTGTTGAGAATTAGTAACATTCTAATAGAGTAATGAACCACCAAACAGGGCAGAAAATTCAATGCTGACTACGTGATGTTTTCAATGACTGAGTAACAAAGAGAATTATGGTCATCACGTTCTCTGGACCTGAAAATGCGTCATTTTTATCTAAGTGGTGACTTGAAACAAAAAGTCTACAGAAATATTTCATGTACTTCACAGGTTTCACAGATCAAACTACAGAATGTTATTCTAGAAATAAGGGAAAGTAAAATTCCCAATGAATGTCACATAACTGATTATGTCAGTGTAAAATAATGTTCTTGAATGTTAAAGGACAGCATTATAAGAAGGTACAGAGCCACCGATTAGACTGCAGAGTTTTGTAGTGAGCTGTTTGGGTGGATATATCAATTGCTAAGAATCTCCCAGACATCTTGAATCTTACCTTGCAGACTGTGGATCACCCCAAAGCATCCTGACATCCTGCTGGGCTTGGTGCGTTGGATACCGTGTAGGAGAAGGTGCCTGCTGAGCCCACGTTCGCCTTTGTGCCTGCTGCTGCTGATCATGAAGATAGAACTGGGTTTGCCCATCGAATCCTTGCATATTTTGTTGAAATGCTAAACTCTGCATTTGCTGCTGTGCTGCAAGGCTCTGCAGTTGCTGGCCAGACAAGTCCTATAACGTTCATTCAACAAATGCGTTTTTTTTTTGCCTTGTCTCCTCATTTTATAGACGGGATTAAGGTTATTTGGTTTAACATTTATGTATCTGCCCCCTTCCCCCCAAATAATGTATGAACCAACTGACAGATTTTCATGAAATTTGGGTAAAAATATCACACCACCAGAGACAACAGCAAATTTGTACTTTCAATTTCTAAACTCAATAAGACCCCATGATTGCTGTGGCTTTCTTAGGTTCAAGTATTCTCCATGGCATTTTGTTCTCAAATGTTTAATATGCATATTCATACCATGTGACAGAAGTTTTGTTATAGTTTCAATGCCATGGGATATAAGAATATGATGTTTTCACCTGAATTTGGTGTTGTTGTTGGTTTACTAAACCCTGCAGATGGTGGTGTGTAGATAAGTCTTGGATCTGATTCTGCTGCGTAGCCAGCCGCTGAATATCATTCTGGATTTCATGCAGACTTGAGTTCATCCTGTATTAAATAATACAGAAATAAAGTACTTTCATAATGATAGCTTCATTCAGCCTGGATGCTTAGGAAATGTAAAGTTTTGAATGCTTCTGGCATTTTTTGAACATTTTGTTAAGACTGTATCAATATAATGTAATTTTAAATATATAATCATAAATCAGGTTTAACACAAAACAGAAAATGTTGACATTAGTAGCAACCAGTTTCCAGTACATTATATAATTTACCTTTTATTCAACATCAGTAATAATAGTGCATTAAATAATGATGATGATAATTATAATAATTGCAGCAAATTATTACTCTCATGACTGGCTGTACTTGTTAATACTGAATTTCCAAAGTTATGTTCTTATGGCTTCAACTGTACTTACTGGGCTATGGACTGCTGGTACTGTTCAAGGTCCATATTCTCTATATCAGGTGTCTTTCTCTCCTCAGTGAATGGGACAGCACCATCCAACCATTTGTGTTCAACTGATGTCACATCCTCGCTGATTTCCTGATAACACAATATACCATTTCAGAATCCAACAAATAATACTACATACACTTCATATTGTTGTTTCTATGGGTATAAACATAAAACTTGCAATAATATGAAGAGGACAGTCAGAGACACATACGCTTATGAGTGACAAAATGTAAATGAATAGTGGACAGAAGATGAAGCAATATATAACAAATTGTGTGAAAGAATATGCCGATGAAATGTGAGTGCAGATATAAAGTTTCTTTTACAGCACTGGAAGTAAAAGTATAGGTTTCAATGGTGAGCAGAATACTGTACAATAGTTATTAAACAAAATCACTATTATGTTATTAACTTTACATGATACAGAGGCTCTCCTTCTTAATACATACACCTTTCAGACCCTGAACTCAGCTTTGTACTGACTGGAATATTTGCATCTTTGAATTTTGTACTAAAAAAAATGTAGACCTATAAATTAGCGATTTATAATGTTCATTTAACCAAAAACAATGCACCACATGTTGGAAACAGAATGAGGCAGAAAATAAAAATCATAAAGAAATCACACAGAATTTGGAAGGGGGGAAGGTATAATTCTTTGTCATCTCCATATTCCTATAGTTCAGGGAAACATTGCTCACCAAAAATCAACCTATTCTTGAAAGAACATGCCAGAAAGGACTACGCTATGCCTGACTAAAAACTTAGAATGCGTCATTCACCACAAATTAAACTAAGCCAATTTATTTACAGAATTCAATGACAAAAGCAATTCCTTCTACAATGAATAATTTTTGAAGGAAGTCTTTTTTAATTTATACATTTTCATAAGCAGCAATGACACAATTCTAGATGATTCTTATTTTAGAAAAAGATATGAGGAAAAAGTACTTTCATGCTGTTATTAATAATAAGAGGTTCAAGTAAAAGAAAGATGAATACCAACATTTAACCAGAGGAAATTATTTTTTATACAAAATAAATGTGGAATATTTATAAGATTCCAGCACTACAAACAAATGGTATTACAGGCAGCAAGAACTACTAAAATTAATTTATTATTAAAGCAAGAGCAATAATTATAAATATGGTGACCTGAGACAGTATACATACTCTTATATATTACACACATATAAGTATGTTTTCATTTAATACAAAAATCAGTGCTAATTACAACAAATATACAATACAAAGAAACAGAAGGTGATGCTGACAAGCACTTGAAGTAATGTTGAAAACAAAGATAAAACAAAGACGTATATCACTGTCACAAACAACACAGTACAAAGGTGGTGACTGAGGGGATGGAGGAACAGACAGAACTGAGAACACACAAAGGCCCTGGTTTATTTTCAGTGCAGCAAAAAATCATTACAGACTTTTTAAGCATGGTAACTGAATGCTTTTAAAAAGGAAGAGTTGGTGTACAATGAACGAAACAAGTCATTTACCTTGTGTCACACTAACCAAGCCCTTTTATTTATGCAATGAATGGCCGACTTATTTCACCACAGCACAATTTGTTCCCCTCCTACATTTACTCAGACATGTGTGGGTTAATTACACCTCATGCACTCAGGAACCAACAAAACCATACCTGCAGTGAGAATGGTCTCTGAGGTTTCATATTTTCTACCACATCTCCATTTGAATCCTTGCCAGAATCTGACTCTGGTGTTTTAATGTATGTGTTCTTTCCCTGTAACACAATGTTATAATCAGGGTTTGTATTTCCAAGAAAAGATATAAGGTAAGATAACCACATTTATAACAAAATTACAAACAACTTCATTCATGGTAAGAACTATCATGTATAATCCTGTCCCTCGGAGATCATATTCCATAAATATTCTTAACAATTATGTTGCAGCGTAGAGGCAAATAGCATACCTCTCTCTTCTAAAAACTGCTGTCAGGCATATGCCTTGATTTCTTTACTGAAGATACTGGTTCAATTCTGCATGGTTAAAGCAGGAGCATCTGCCTCTGATATAGTCTCTTAATGTAATTAATTAGTAGTGTACTTCCACATTCCACAGTAATACTGTTTGCCATAATTATTAGTATAACAGCAGTAATGCTTTACTTTACACTCTTCCTTTATGACTGCCAGACAATGGGCAATCAACAAATGAAATCTCTCAGCACTGGCATCATTAGGCACATACAATTCTTATGATAACTTCAGAAATAAGAGCATTCAAACAAAGTAACTCTAATACGCAAAATGCTCCTTAAAAAGCTAAAAATTTCCAGCTCTTATATAACCCCAAGATTCAACATCATTATTTCTGAAAGCCTGCCATTGGACCCTGTCCCAATCAGCTAAATATAGTTCACATCCGCAGACCGTTTCTCTGAGATCTGACTTAACAGATCTTCCATGTGGTCCCTCCACCTCAGGTGTTCCAAAATAAATTTTATATGCACTTTCATTCTTCCCAGGCAAGTTCTACTAATCTAATCCTCCTTGATTTAATCACTCTAACCAATTATGAAGAGCCTGACAGTCTAATTTTCTCAAGTAGTAAGAGAGTACTGTAATTATATGATGCAAAAAGTACTAACATTTTGGTTTTATTTATTACATAAGACACTTCCCACAATGGAAGACTTTTCAAAAAGGTAAAATACAAAACTGGTTTTTGTTTATGAGACAGACATGCTGCATTTAGTTCATACAGTAATGGGATGAGATTTGGAGCAAAGGGCTATTCGCTTTTTCACTTATAGATGTGCATTTATTAAGCTCCTTGTTTGTAACTATTGACATGTAGTCTTTTCTATAATATAAAATCCTTCTGATGACAGCTTTCTTCTTCCATTGGTGCATGGAGTAATCTGTGTCCACTGCTTTTTTTAATGCTTGCCAAGAGTTTAATGTACAAAATGATCATTATGTAACCAAATTAACATCATTAACATAAATTTAATGATTTAAAGTATAAACAGATAAAACTAAATACATCATAAGAAATGATACAGAACCAAGATCAACAACAAATTGAACATAACTAAGTAATAAATCATTTGAAAATGTAACTATCTGGAAATAAAAGTAACAGACATGAGATTCATGCAATGCTGAAACTAATTGTGTCAGTTTATATTACAAAATATTTCTTACTAACATGCAAAGCACTTCCTTGCAGCTCAACAGTGAAGGATATTAGCACACTATATAATATATACAGTCACACATGCCTGTCTTCCACTATTAGAAACATTTATATACAAAGACGTTTTATAAACATCAAAGAGACAGAAACCACAAAGCCCAAAGTGATAAATAAATGGGGAAAAGTCATATCCTACTGCTACTAACTCATGCCAAACTGCCACTGATACCATTTGTGCAAATTAAAGAAAGTGAAATAAGTTTAATTGCAGTCAGGACAATTTCTAGAATGGCACCAATTCATATATTTTTTTTTTTAATTTACAACATTACATTACATTTATTAAAAAGTACCAACTAGAAGAATCAACTGATTTTATTATGTCAAATTAGTGGTTTACACAGCAGTAGAAATGTCAACTGTGGTCACCAAAACTGTGTTGCCATGTACTAATGCTGTGGGTCGTTACAAACATTACGAAGAAACACAATGCCTCAGTTCTCATAAAAACAAAAAATTCCTACAGACCACAGGTAATTACAACTAAGAATACCAGAATCAATTAAACTTTTCATTAATGCTTTTTAGTGATTAATATCAGATCAGATTGTGTAGCAGATTGTTACTAACACACAGTTTTCCAAATTAGTGTGAGAATTTGTCTAGGACCAAACTACAAAGGTATGTTACTAAAATTATTTTTTTTACAAAAGAAAGTAATGCATAAAAAGAAAAAAGATTAAAATGAATATTTGCCATTGTTATTTATTTATTAGTATTTTATTTAACAATGCTGTCAGTAGCTCAGCCTATATAGCATTACATTATAGGTGATTAATGAACAATAAATTATAGAGGATATGGAAGGAAAGTCATGGACTAATTTAAGGTACTGTTCTGGCATTTGCCTGGAGGGATTCTGCATTCTGCAAAACCATGAAAATCTCAATCAGTAGAGCTGGCCTCTGAGCTGAGATATATAAAGCAGGACTGCTATCAATTGGCCTCCAGGTATGTTCTAAGATACCTTCCTGGCCTCTGCCTGTACAGGCAAATGTGCAGAATCTATTTCTGAGGTCAGAGCACCTACAGGATAGATTCTGTTACTCCCATAACAGCATGATGATGAATGTTGGTCAGCAGAGGAGACCTACAGCTTAACATGGTTTCTGAACCTGACATGGACCTGGAATTCTTCACATTCCCAAAGTTTTATTTTTAGCAGAGGTGAAGGTTTCAATCTGTAAGCAGAAGAATCTGCACGCAGACCTGACTAGGCCTTGAACTCAGAAACCTATGAATGAGAGTCCAGCATATTAACCCAAATTCTCCAGATCCTCCTAAATATGTAAAATTGTTCCTGAAATACAGCTGTAAAAAATATTTCTGTATAACTGTTCCACTCACAACTTACTTTTCAGGAGGTGTGGAGTATGTAATGAATACAATTTCTAGCCGAACATTTTTCTTTATCTGATCTCTACTGCTTACCTTTGTAACGGCTTGCAGGAAAGCAGCCTTCCCCACTTTTTGGCGCTGCTTACTCATCACCACTTCCATGCGCCTCTTCTCACTCTCGATGAGCCGACGTTTTTCCTCCAGCTTCATTCGAATATTGTGTAACTGAGATGCCATAATGTGATTATTTGCATTGGTATCATCTGGAACAGTAATTAAAGAAACAGGTCACTTATTGAACAAAATGCACAATCTCTCACGTAGCACAGTTAAATAAGTCTTACATAAGACACACAATCATCCGCTAAAGTGCCAAATGCCATTTGGAAGGAAGCAGTTATTGATTATCTGAAGGTAACATCACAGTGTTCACCTGGAAAGATGGGAAGTCTAAAAACTTCAATCAGGTCACCCAATAAACCTGGCAGAGATTTGAATCACATATGCCAAACTACAAATCTAGCACATTATCACATCTGCACAGTAGGAGATACCAATAATAAGTGGTTAAATAATATTATTTCTGCTCTACTGCTGACACAGGTAAGAAGTTAATTACTGATATTTTATGTTAACACAAACGACTGCACACTTAAACACTTGACTGAAACTGTTCTACTCTGTGCTAGAGGGTAAAAGGAAAGCACAGCAGCGATATTCTATGTCAATAGTGCAAGCAAATGTAGTGACAGTACAGTTACATATCTGTCAGAAAACTTTAACTGTTAATTACCACAAGATTTATTAACGTAGTATCACACCAGACTTTTGCAGTTCCATAAATCTGAGTCTAACCACTACTCCTCTGGTTTGGTTGCGAACTATTTTACTCACAATGTATTTAACAGTGAAGAGAGATGGCATGCTAAGAAACAATGCTGTTCATGCTTATATATATCACAATGTTAAACCCTCTAGACAAAACCTCCCTCATATGTAGTGACTACCACAAACTGATACAAAAGGCTTCTTTCAGTATATAAGCACATAAAAATGGCACCTACCTAATGCAGATGTCATCTCCGTCTGTTGCAGCTGACTGGTGCTGGAACTCTGCTGTTGCCACGTGGTTGTGTTGCTTGGGAGAGCAGCAAATGTTGTTTTCTTCTCACCAGAACCATTGCTATTATTCCCACTAATTCTTTTGTTGAGAAAACTCGACTTTGGAGGAACACTACCCACATCCTGTTCTCGATCATGTTGCATGTATACTATGTGGATGCCTTTGGGTGTTTCTACACCTGCTTTATGTCTTGATAACTCAGCAAAACTTGTTGCAAGTTTAATTCCCCCAACATCACCATCCACCATATCACACAGTTCTGAAACTTCCTTGGAATGTTGAGTTACCTGTTTTAAAGATACCATATTAGACCGCTCTGATTTTTCCTCATCACGTTTCTCACTGGAAGAATAACCATTGTTGTCATGGAAGAGGAGTTCAACGCCGATGCTTCTGGCCTCCTGGGCACTAGTACGCAATGCAGTACTGGTGCTTTCACAAACATTTTTCTTGCCTGTGTGCACAGCCGGCTCCTTGTCCGGGTTACGCCCCAACAAATGCAGGTTCTCTTGAGAGCCTCCAAAGTTCTCCAAGGTCAGCTTTAAACATGATTATAAAAATATTACACTACTGTCAACATACCAAAACAAAATACAATTTAAAAGAAAACTATGTACACTGGTACTGCAGATAAGATACTTGCAGTGTCTTTAAACAACAGGATATTAACCATTGTTCATCGTTTTGTGTGCTCTAGATATCAGCCACTTCTGACTACACAGACATTTTCTGAATGATCTTCCTGTATTTCTATATCCCTTTGGTTTCTACTGAAGACCAAGTTTCAGGAGGGCAACATTTCTGAGAAGGCTAGAAATAAATTCCAAAATAAACACAGCAGTAACCTGGCTGGACCTACAGGACAAACAGGTGGAAACTCCTATGCAATAGACAAACCAACAGGAGTGGAAACAGGATAACAAACAAGAACAGGCCAGTAAAGTGAATGAGTGACTGACTGGTTACAGATGAATCACTGGGGTCCAATTCCCAAAGCCATAACTTTTACCATCTACCAACTTTATTAATGTATTCAAACAAAAAGCACATATACTGATCATGACTGATAATTTCAGGGCATAATTCAAAGGAAAATTGTGTTCACTGTCTTCACATGTTCACACACACATCATACATATAGTTTATAAAGATAGCAAGCATTTCCTTTGCATATGAAAAAATAGTGAGCTATTTTTCAAAACAACACAAATTGCAGGGCATCTTACATTATACAAACGTCTCGAGTTTCAGTGATCCTCAAGAAGCATCTATTACCATCAAACTCACCTGTGAATCATCTGATACAGAGTTCCTTCTTGACCTCCTGCCAGCATAAGAACTTCGTCTGGAATCCTCCCAGTTGCTGGGTCTACCAGCAGCTACTGGTTCTCCCCGTTCCTCCGCTTTACTGTCCTGATTTTGCTTCTCTTTTGCTGGTCGTAACCTGGCAGGAAGCAAGGGCTCCTCAGCTTGAACAACTGAGCTTAAGGTAGGAACTCCACGCCCTCGATGCACCACAAACTGATCTTCACTACTGCTATGTCTAAAAAAATTTGAGAAATATACATTATTAAGACTACTTTTGCCACCCTTGGTGGACTTGTTATTAACATGCTCGCCACTGGACCCAAGGTTCGCGGGTTCAAACCTGGCCAAGGTCGATGGATTTTTAAGGGTGATTTAAATCCGTAACACAACTTCCTTCAGAGGGGAAGTAAAGCCAGCGGTCCCATGTAGTAGATTTATGGTATGTAAAAGAACCTCATGTACATGAACAAGATGTTTCGTAAGCAAATTTCAGCAGCCATTTCTCACTCAAGTCTCTCCTGATTCACTTCTAGATTGCTCTAACAGACAAATCAGGACTGAGTAGAAATTGTGCAGAGGCAGTGGGCTGGTCACTCACTACTCATAAATGCACACTTCAAAGACAAAGAAACCTCCCACACGGGAGGAGGTCAAGGCTTGACTTCGGCTGTTGCGCCATAGAAAGAACATCTCGCAACATGATAACCACTCACCTCTACAGAATGAGTGGAGCAGCATGCCTACAAATGCCTATACAGGCACAGAGGCACTTTACTCATACCTTTCTTCCTGTGTGTGGCTCCTGTCATGAGACTCAGTGGTGCTTTTCCCATACGTATCAGCATGTTGCAAGGAATGTGACTTTTTGATAGGCAGAGACGTCTGTATTGTTGGAGATGACTTAGAAACTGAAACAACAGTATAATATTTGAAAAGTTGAATTAAATACAGGTCTAAGTGCACAAAACAAGCATTATCCATAACTGAGTTTAAAAGTGTGTATGGCCTACAGCTGACAGAACCGCTGCTGCTATCTTCTGGCATGTCTTACAACTAAAGCAACAGAGGTGGAACTTATAGCACTGTACAAGGTTGAGGCTTGGCATACACGACATGTTCTGACCATTACCTCAATACCAAAAATGTAGGCACTTACACCAGTATTTAATTTAGTTCTTTAATTATAAATATCAGTTCTCAAGTAGTACTTCAATTCACATCAAAGCGTGCAAATTGTGCAAAATTTATTTTATGCATTCAAAATGTGAAATGTCTTTACTAGGGAGTTTCAAAATCCTAAGGTTGAAAGTTACATAAATACACACATATATCTACCTGGTATGCTCATATATCTTTAACAAACAGTTCTTTGTAAGAAAGATGATTTTACTGTATACACCTTTTACATATCTTAATCATTAACCACAATTTATAATAGTCATCATGGATCAGTAGGGTGATCAAATTGAGGATAAAATGGGCAGGGCATGTAGCGAAGACAGAGATGAGAATTGTACACAATATTTTAGACAAAATATGAAGGGAAGAGAGGCATAGACAGAATGATAATTCTATCTATGGATGGATCATAAAGAAATTGGATGTGAAGTGAGGGTGTGGACTGGTTCCACTATGTCCAACAGGGTTCCATGAAGGCAGATCTGCTCTTGACCAGCTAAGAAACTATCTCCTTCTCAAGAAAGACTCTGCTTCATTAAGTTAACTAACATTTGCTTAATATTCCAAGTTCTGAAAGAAACTCTGATCTACTTTTATATCTTAATGAATTTATAATAAATACTCGACATGGAAATACATTGCACAATGTTTTGTGTTAGAGATACAAGGGACACATGAACTATAATTACACCCATTAACAAATATATAAAGTGCTTAAAGGTAGAAGACTGAGTGAATTTGTATAGTAAACAACAATAAACAGAGCACTCATCTGAGAGATCAAGCATGACTGACTATGCACATTAGTGATATCAAACATAAAATCACACTTATAATCCATGACTGACTGACAAATAATGGTAACAGTGGAACACAAATTCAGTTTTTTTATGACATTACTTACCTGGCAGTTAACTTTAATAAAAACTTCCACTCATAGCAACTCTAATATCTTTTTTAATTTATGTGCAACAGACTTCACTTTACAAACAAAATAAAGAACAGTATAATTACACAAACATAACAAATTTCTAAACACACATGCAAAAACCTGAGGGAAACAATTACAAAAATTTTCTTCACCACAAGAATTCCAAAAACAAAATTGTAAGTGCTCTGAATCTTCCTTAATTTCCATGAATTAATACTGCATTTTTCTTACTAACACAAAGTCTGGCAATTCAGATTATCTGCATACATTTTGAGAACTGTACGGGGTTTGTTTGCAAGCTATTCTAACAACAAAGTATTTGAAAATAAAATATTATTGACAAGATATGCAAATAAAGATAACAAAATAAATCAGCTACATTTCCTTGTAAGGGTAATGCTCACATGCAGAAAAATATCCCATAAATATACCAAAGACATGCAGAAATACAAACTTCATGTAGTCTAAGAAAATTAAATATACCAGAGGCAAAATATGAAACACGATTAAACATACTAGTAACCTAAACTTAGCCCACTAGTATTTCTGGTATACTCTGAACTTAACTAACAGCTGGGAGAATATGAATGAACCAGAACATATTGCTAATTTCAGACAGGTGTAATTTAACAGAAGTCATGTACTTTAGATACTTATAAATCAGAATTTCTTGTGCCACTATGTACACTACATTGTTTGTTACTGATTACTACACACTTCCAGTATTCAGAACTATTCTCCACCACTCTCTTTCCTTTCTCCAGTGGTCCCTGTAGATCTTTAAAGCTGGCACTTATCTGAATAATATTTAAAAATTGAGTAATACTGCAATACTAATAAGATGGAATTGTAATGGCCCTGTCCAAAATAAAATTAGCCAGAACACTACAGTATATAAATGACAGACTTCATACAACTTCAATATGAAGATGCAAAGAACAATTACCTTAATGGACTACTTTCAAATTTCATTTTTTACATCCCTAAGTGTTATGTGCCTTTTGAACAAGTTCAAAATTTGTGTTTGATAAGCTCATGTACAGGAAATATCATTAACAATTTTTCCATATTCACAAGAACTTTGCTCAATGCAAAGAAAATACTTTTAGTAGAACTGCCAATAACCATAACATTGAGAGTGCTTGCTGATAAAGTTCTCACTTTTTATTTAAGAGACCTATCTCACACATACATGCTGTTTCTTGCAATGTGTTTCTATCAAATAAAATAACTATTCAGATTTTTAGTCTACAAAAGATCCAGTATTGTCAGGGTGATTAAGTCGAGAAGAATGAGATGGGCTGGGGATGTAGGGGACAAGACGTGTGCACCGGGTACTAGTTGGGAAACCTGAAGGGAAGAGACCGCTGGGGATACCTAGACGTAGATGGGAGGATAATCTCAGGCGGGATCTATGGGAGATAGGAGTTGAAGAAAACTGGATTTTTTGGCCCAGGACAGGGTCCGGTGGAGGGCTTTGGTTAATTCGGTGATGAATCTTCGGGTTCGGTAAGCCATCTAGTTAGTTAGTTAGTTAGTTAGTCTACAAAAGATAAACAGATCACAGAATGCTAAGGCATGCAGACATGAAGATGAGATGTCCCATAACAAATACAACAGCACATCTCCTTACTTCAGAGGGAACAGACTGCGCACAAGACTGACCATCTCACAGAGATAGCAAATATGTTCTATGAATAAGCAACACATCTACAATGTATTTACTCCTGTGTCTGCCAGACTGAATTTGTCTAAAATAAACAGTATTTTACAATAATTTGAATCAAAAATGAGGAATGCAAATACAGTTTAAGCTTTCTACGGCAGCTGATAATGTCTAAATTTTCTGTAAATTGTTACACGCAAGATTAGATTATTCAAAAGAACATATTTCAGACAATGAATATGTACAATAAGAAGACATAATGTAATATGAAGATGGCTGTTTTCTGGGTTGTAGCACCATATAGTTCAGTTAAAGTTTATTGATGTTACAGAGGTGCTTGCTGCCTCCATCATCATCACCCTGATGATTTAGGCATCAAGCACCTCTAAAATGTCAGCAAACATCTACCAGATCACATGGTACTACAACCCAGAAGACGGCCATCTTCAGATTCACCACCATGAAAACCTGAAATCTCACAATGTAATATCGTATTTCATTACCTATCTACAGTAACACAAAACAAAGCATGTCTATATTGTCTTCCAACACTTCTATTTGGATTTTTCCTGACTCCAAAAGGTGTTACAATGCAAAACCGCACACAAAATCAGGTTTCAAGTCATATGCATTCAAAGCAAGCCAGAGCAATATTACAACGTACAGGTAGCCCTCGATTTGCACCGATTTTGAAACCAGCAAGTCAAAAAGTGAACAAATATATTTTAATATTAATTATAACGTTTTATAATATATCTCGTACTGCTTCTTATACTAAATCGTAATTCTTACACCACTGATTTTGAATAAAAATTATAAATACAGTCGTCTCTGCAATTACGTATGTTTCGTTAACGCGAATTTGCTCCAATGAGATCAATGAATCGGTAAAAGCTGTTTGTGAAATGCAAACTTTTACATATGCGAGTTTGCTCTTATGCAATTTCATTCCTGGCTCTTTAAACTTTCAAAGGGCCTAATTTAATCTCTACGGAGGTCCCGGGGTTATTTTTACTACGCGATTTTCTATAGGTCGGCGTCTTACATGAATGCAACTATCGCATAACAGTAGAGATGACTGTACACATCAATCACATGAAAGAATCGCAGTCAATCGCGGGGACCAACGAATTGCTGATTGTAAGTGTATAAAATATATTTTTTAAATTCCCTTTATTTTATTTACGTTATTTCAGAGCTTTAAATGTAATGCCATTATATTACTCGTCAATTTTTGGGTGCTGGGAACGCATGTCATTGACTTCCAGTTGATTTACATTATAAAAGAGTTTCAATTTACGCCGATTCCGTTTACGCCGGTTCGTCCAGGAACACATCCCCGGCATAAATCGAGGACTACCTGTAGTTGTGGAATGGCTATCAAATTAAAAGCTTCAAATCAAACCAAAGTTTTCACATAGAACCAACTAATAATACTGATACATGACTTTATTTTACTGTACATAATAGTATCACTTTCATTAAAGTCCAAAATTACTGCTCTGGATTTTTCAATTATTTTTTAAAATTTCTTTTGGACTAATGATTCCAACAGTTAATTTTCGAGTGAAACAAAGTCACATAATTTCAAGTAAAATCTGTTTCCTCAACTCACGTTAAAAAAACAATTACCTCATCTTTTCATATATGGAAATTCAAGAAATACTATATTTTATTTACACAGTTTAAGATTTTCAAGGCAATTCATACGCAGTCTAAACTCCACTGGGTTGTAACACTGTGCTGCAGTGAAAGAAACTTCCATTACAGTAAGGTCTTAGGCTCAGAAGACTTCGTACTACATGTGATTGTGTTTCTTTAATAAAAGCAGTTTTTTCTCAATAATAAAATAAACTACAAATTGTAAATCAGTATTTGATGGATAAATATTAGGTAGAGCTCAATTTATATTAAAGCTACTGATGTCTACGGCACATGGTGGAGAATGCTCCTACCTGTGAAGCCGCTCGAATGAGCTCCAAGATTACTGCGAAGATCAGGGATTGCAGATATTGACTGCGGGAAGCTACGCTTGTGAGCTACCCCTTGGCTATTCCTTGGGTAGACTGAGAAAGTTAGAGCACAGTGAAAAGATTAATAAAAAGCAATACAGTACAGTGATGGGCAACTAATGCACTTCTCAGCTGCGTTTACAAGCAGAATGACAGTAACATAGTAACAGTGCTTGCAAGCTCAACTTGCATATATTTGAAAATAAGTGCTGAGCAATCTAATAATATTCAGATTAGTTTCCTTAAATGAATTTTCTGTAAATAACTGATGAATCATGTCTGCTTTTGAAGTATTTTTAATGTGCAAACAGAAGAAGTCTTATTTCATATTAAGTAAAAGACACACACTTTATTAGTTTGGTAAATATGGTTATAATAATTAAGGGAAATAGTCATGAAAAGATTATATCTCCAAATGAACATACCTTCTGCAACGTTAAATAGCATTCAACAAATCACAGAATGATAACATAATAACATAGCTTACACGATGATGCGCTGCACATTAAGTACACGTAGAAAATATTTTCTCATTGTATATATATTACTGTTGCCCTCACTGATACAGTATTTATGAAAGAAAAATCGACAGAAAGGAGAAAGAATTGGTAAGATCTGCTTGTTTTGCTTGCCACAACCCCAACTATTCTTACTTCAATAATACTTCAAAGTGTATCATCCAATCACCACATTCATTCAAAACATGCAGTTCCATAATTTATTGTATTTAGATAAGTGTTACCAAGCCTTTATCAGCAACTGTGCAATGAAATCTGGCCCTCTTGAAAGATCATTAATTTACCTGTAACTACTGTGCCTAAAAGCATTATGAAATGCATGATAAGGAACGTGTTATATTGCCAGTGCTGCAAAGTACCACAGCAGTCAAAACTTGGAATGAATGTCCATCGTCTAAGGTCACCTTGAAAATATACTGTTCAGATATATATATAATTAAAAGTGATACATGGAGGTTCACAAAATTCTAAGCCAGATTGCAAAACCAATTTCATTTGGTAAAGAATTTTCTGTGACTACAGATATGGGGCAAATATGTAACCTGTGTTCATTTTTTGTACAAATAGAAAAACAACAAAAAGGACATATGTGCAAAGTGCAGACACACATTTTATAAAATGACAATTAACAAACTACCGTAACCAGACATTCAATTTGAAATGCTCTACATAGCCTGAATTTCTGTTCAAAAAAACCCATATTAGACATTGATCCTTCTTCTTGTAAGTTCACTTAGGAAATTAAAGCATAAAATATTCCATGAACTGTATTTCACAGAAAAAATTTATTTCAGTATCAAGTCATGGACAAACAAATTAACACATCTTCACACGAACTGAAAGGCTATCATTGCTCGAAATATTTTTGAAACGTATCTTCAGATTGGCAATATACATATAAAACCACAAAAACCTGTCAGAAAAGCTGATGCCCCACTGAGGTACGAATGAGATCCTCCCAATACAGGTTCAGCACATTACTGACTCAGCCAACCTGCTGATTAGGAATAAAGTTAATCACGGCAGACAAAATAAGCATAAGTAGCAGTAGCAACCAAAACCAGTTTTCCTAGATGGAACATTGGAACAAGAAATTTAATTAATTATTCACCTCACGTTGAAGTGTTTTCAATTGGCTCCTTCTCACTAGAATTTCTCTTCTGTATTCTATTTTGAAATGCTTTTAAACATATTCCCTAAAAAACCCTTTCCAACACTGAAAACCACTCTTAAATACTACAGTTTAAATTCTGCATTACTGCCAACTAAAATTAAAAATAAATTCTGTTCTGTTAAGTAGTGTTAATAAAAGATCAAATTCCACTGTTGCAGCTACCAACTGAACCAAATGTTTCCAACAGAACAACCCAAAAAATGTTTGCACACATAACTACAGAAGGTCCAGACGATATGATACCTGTAAAACAAAACTATGTTAACAGCATCTACCAAGAGAAATTAAGTAACGATGTCTTACCTTCTTTTAAATTTTTGTCTGTGCCTGGAAATCGGACACATTTTACTGGATGAATCTCTAGTACGTTAAAGAGATCTGCCAGAAAAACCACTAGATTCTGCTTCATTGACCTACATCAAAGAAGACAAAATTCACAAAAAGAGTTCAAAACAATGTGTACAAGAATGAAATAAGAACACAGAACTTTCTAAAATACACTTGACATAAAGTTTTAGTTAAACAGAAATTTAATTTTTAATAATCAATGTACATAAATCCATATTTAACATTTATTTTGACACATCCATGGTACAAGGTTACACAGACTATAAAAACCATTCACATCACTTAAGCTGATGATCTGGATTATATTCATTCATGGCATGCAGCAGTTTCAGTGAATAAAGTCTCCATTTCAACCTTTAAATGCTTCAGCATGTTCGTGGTTGTTAAGTTTCAAATTCATTTCTCTAATGTCAATAAAATATTAATGTCATCTAGTTGCATTATTACCCCCACTTAATGGTACCTGCACCTTGTTGTGGTGGTGGGGCTCGAGTACCTCAGTGACCCCAAGAGCTACGCTGGCGGTAGCATAGCTACTGGTAGGGCCTCCCTAGCTAGATTGGTCGAGGGGGAGAGGTCAGACTAAGACAGATACCCTGGTCCTCCAGGTTGGGGGTTGGTCGCAAGGCTAACAACCTTTCACCATAAAAAGGAAGATGTTTTGAAACCTCAATCAAAGCCTCGGACAGACGGACCTAACAGAGGAGAATTGAGGAGGCCATGGACCGAATATGGACCGGAGAGCCGTAGAAGAAGAAGAAGTTGCATTATTACACGTCTTATAAATGTCCAAAGGGTTACACATTTCTTATAGACACACTGTACATGGTAGATACGTACCCACGCATATAAGTTACATCTTCTGGCATCATGTGGAACACAGAACACGGTAGACTACGGGTGCAAAAATTATAAACCAGCATGAGATTCTGAACACAGTCAGACACAGTGGGTAAGTAGCTGACTACAACATCCGTCCATGGCAATTCCTCAGGACAATAGAATGACACTAAAGCAGCTAGACTAATTCCATCACAGAGGTCTTTCAGTTCTTGCACTGGAGGAAGGTCTGGTACATGCAGTCTGTCACCCTAAAACATAAAATATTAACTTACAGAATCACAACCAGTCAGTTCATAGTGAAAACATTTAATGTAATGCTACGACCACAATATGCCAGCAGGAAAACCCCAAGAGACTAAACGGATAGAAATGAATGGTCTAAATCAGGTACCGACCCCAGTACCAAAAGGTACCCTCTTCATTCTGATACAGTTTTGTTCACATTGATTCCGACCTTTCTTCTGTAACATACACACTAATGGCATCTAGCAGTTACCTCCCTTCCCCTACAATCACCCTGCTCCATTTCCTGCTCTATCCTCTGCTTCAGAGCAGAACAAGCTTTGTTAACCCAGAGTACCAGACCCCCTTCGTGGTCAGCTGGCAGCGGATCGGGACTGGCAGCTCGAGAGAAACTAAATCTTTGGATTGCTGCTACAACTCGATCAGGTGTCACAACCTCCTTTGCATACAGCACCATGATGGCTTCAATCACAGCCATGTGAGCACTCTGAAACAAAATAGAGAATAAGTATTTTCTAACCAAAGTTAATGCAGTGCACAATTGAAAGATATAGCATCATTAAAGACATGTCCGTACTGTTTCCATATGACTAACTGAAGCTGCACATTTGTATACAATTATCATTTGTTAAACTGTGTACATTATGAATATGTATGTCAATTTGCAGGTCATTATACAACATTAGCACTACTAATGACCATTTATTTCAATAAACTTGCACCTTGTGTAAGTTGCCAAACCGTTCTGTGTATGCTCACATTCGGTTAAGAACCGTGATCATAAGAACACGGGGAGAGGGATTTGAATGCATGTGCTGTTTGCACAAAGATAAAGGCAATGCCATTACCACATTTTGTCAGCTATTACTAAATATGCAGAATTGAATTTTAATTCCAATGTCATAGGACACTGGCTGAGAAAAACTGTTTTAATGAACAAAACTTACCAGTTTAATTGGATTGGTTTGAATAAGTACAGTTTCTGTCAACTGGTCATCCGGAGGTTCTGTAATCAACACGCCTTTCCTTGCCAGGGCTTGGATGATGCCCCAGTGGTTAAGGTTGTGATAGTTAGGGTCTGAATAGATGTTTGCAAGACCCAGGCAGTATAGCTCTGCATTGGCAAGTGAATGGACTATTTGTGGTTTCAAATGTTCTTGATCCTAACAAAAATGAAACACAGTACAATGAGTGTAGAAATTAAATCTTAACTAGATACTTTGTACAATTTACAGCCTCGCAAATCTGTTCCCAAACTACAAATAACATAAATTGTCTAAACTGATACTAATATAAAAGTAACAGACCTTGTATGTATGTCCCCAAAAAATCCATATAACATACAAGATGATGAAATATTCAAATTCCATTTCTCTGCATATGTTACTAATCATAGAATCTCCAATAACCCCAAATTAATATGTATCACTACCTGTCATTTACATTCCTTTTTAAAGTTCATTCTGAAAATAAAAGTGGACTGAAAAGAAAATCAGAAGGGTTACAAAATAGGTCAGGAAACTTACCAGCTATAATGTTCAGAATACATCATGGGAATCTTACACCAGATCGTGTTATCTTCCAACATTATGATACCCATGGTGAATTTGAAATGTCAATACCCATGTCATACTCTTTGCCATGACTGTGGTACAGATATGATAAGGTACATAAAATACATCAGGCCATAAATTCCTGTATGTATGTATACATTTCTGACCACCACTCTCCCTCCAAAAATAAATGGTGGGCAGATATAGAAGAAAGCACTACCTTGCCTTTCTCTAAAAGGATGAACTTTACATTTAATCTCCACTATTTTTCCAAAACATATTTTCAGTAATGATTTCCATGCATATATATCAAAGAAACACGCATCACCTCCTGATCTCGATAAAATGGTTCCCGTAAGTTCTCTGGAACCCTGTTGTTGTATGCCTTTGACAGAAGCCACTTCACTGATGCTCTCTGTTTTGCCTGAAGGAAAAAAGAAACTTTATATAGTGCTCACTCATGACTTTCACTATGGCAGTTAAAATATTCTCTGCCATTTTTATGGAATTAAAAACTTCATTACCATGTTCACAAAAACCCACCACTGGCCTCATCATGATTCTGACAAATCAAGTTCACACCTTCAACCAAATTTCTTTACAGATGAATTTAATACACAGCTGAGAAATTATCACTGAATAAAAGAGAAGCATTTGGATGCTACTGAACAGGATGGCAAAGATCTGTATTTGGAAAGAATGTGGTTCTAATCTGTCAGGTTAATGGGTATCCTCACAGTAACAAATTATCTTCAGTTAAGAAATTTGGAAGTTTGTGGATCCTAGAAGGCAAGCTGGTAAAATCAGTAATATTCTACCGAAATTCTTTGATGACGTCATGGCTCATAGCCTGGACAGAAGGCTGGTCGGCTTCCTACGCACATCCACCTGGCATCACAATACGCAGCTTGAAAGATACTGTTCCCACCTGTTCATTCTCCCCGCTCCTGGACGCACAGTATTACGGCGAAATTAATACCATGCATCAAATCAATGCAACGATAAACTAAATACTATGAACCATAGCAAAGGCAATTCCACGCCGCGAAAGTGCAACGGGGCATGTACTGTAGCATCCTCACATATCTACAACAGGACAAAGCGAGTGCTTTGATTCGATCCAAGGTCACCTTCAACTAACTAACTAGATGGCTTACCGAACCCGAAGGTTCATCACCGAATTAACCTCCACCGGACCCTGTTCTGGGCCAACAAAATCCAGTCTCCTTCAACTCCTATCTCCCATAGATCCCGCCTGAGATTATCCTCCCATCTACGTCTATGTCTCCCCAGCGGTCTCTTCCCCTCAGGCTACTCGGTGCACACCTCTTGTCCCATCCATGCGCGCTACATGCCCCGCCCACCTCATTCTTCTCGACTTAAAAGGTCACCTTCAAGCCTAAGAAAAAATATATGGCAGGAAGTGGCTGAGCTCCCTTAACTGACAATTCCATGGTGCCTTTGGGAAGGTGAGAGACGCCATCCTAGACAAGAAATTCTCCTCCTTTTCAGAACAGAAGCCTTACTACACCTCACTCCCATATCTTCAGTATCCATCTATGCCTATGACTGGTAATTGGTCTCTTCCTTTTCGGTGTTCTGACTACAACCCAATGTCCCGTACCCGAATCTCAGCTGTACACGGGAAGTGTCAGAGATCACCTTTACGACCGCAGATAAATTACCAGAGCCCCTGCAAGAGATGTTATCTGGAGACACAAGCTAGCAAATGCAGTGATTCCCACACTTATAACAAATTACTCGTGTCTTCTTCTCATTTCTTCCAGATACGTGCAACAACGAAAATGGGGTTGGACTCCGATAACATATTCCTTTCCCCGTAAGTAACCCGATACGATGATTTTGGTACAAGCGGTACAGCAAAGTGTCCAGAAAAGTGCGTGCCATACTCCTTGTATGGCAATGAGTACTCATCAGACCACAAGCAAGCAATCGACCATTTTGTTTCAAAGCTGTTCAGAGACTGATGTAAACCTCACTTTGTATAAAAAATGAGTATACTATACAGGTATCTAGTTACTCAGTAATCTTACATGTACAATTAAAAGTTTAAATCATAATATAAAAGTATTCAAACCTGCATTCATTTCAAGATTAGCTCTAACTCCTGCCCTGCAGATGATTTCACCTCTGTTGAGAATTATTAAACTTTATGTATATCTACATGTGAAATAACTTCTGTACTAGTGTTATGACATGTTCTACGTCCTTTGGCTTAGCCCAAAGAAGAATCAGGATCTATGAACTGTAAATAAACCAACTCTAACAATAACTCTAGCTCCCATCCCTATTCAACGTAACAACTCCTTTCTTCTGGCCTGGTTGTCCTTAAACGTCGAGTTCAAGTTTATGATCAAAAATCAACGAACTGGGTGGGAGAAATCTACAAACCAGAACCATTAGCCACTGAATGCGATGTGACCTACTTCACTGTCACAAACAACACATGATGGAATAATGCAAGAGTTTCCATAAGTGGAAAATGGAAAGTTTTGTTAATAGACTGTGTGGGCATTTTGGAAGCGGACAGGCCTACAGCATGCAACAAATCCACTGAAGGTCACACCTACGTGCATCACCACTTCGTCTTACCTCTTCAATGAGTCTGTCTGTATGGTGGACTGGATAGAAATACGTAACATACATTGCGTGGGATTTCTCATGCGTGAAGTAAGCACATTATAAATATTGAGGCGTTGCACCAAAAGGACATCTGGGTCTGTTACAGTATTCTACTGTCTGTGTTACACAGCTCGATTCAATGGACGAATTTTGGGTAGAAGAAGTCTCGGTTCAAGGGCTGAAAATGCGAGACCGAAATCGTCATCTGTTCTCTATTCTCTATAAAGTCTCTGGAAGCTAGATCTACGCAGAGATATGAAACTAAGACCCTCGAATTCATCGTCTGTTATATATGAATTTTAACGGGAGCAACATCGGGATGCAGGTATGGAAAGAAGACACCGAAATCTGTATTAAAATGCAAAGTGTTAACGAAGTACTCGATGTTGACAGTTTACAAGCAAGCCTCTTTTCTTTATCTAATTAGTACGTCATTATATTTAAATTTAGATAGGAATGAATTGCTTTCACCTACCTATCTGCATACCTTTATCCATGTAAAAGATAACCTCACTTCTTGGCCGAAACGTCATTTTCAAAACAGGCTGAATAATCATCAGATTGAAAAATAAATATCAGTCAAAAATGGCAATATTTAATGTCCTGTGCAGTTCTTAATACGACAGTACTTCTGGGTATAATCTTTGTTATAAGGTTCTTTCAACAACGACTACTTTCTGAATCCTGCCAGTAGAAATATGACAAACCATCTGCTTTATGCAACTTGAGAGTAGAGTAGAGTTTATTTACATTCCATAGATAGAGAAAATATAGTCTTCTAACCTGTTTCATTTTAAGTGATATTTAATTACAACTGGAGGATAAGAATGTGAATAAAAATTACTCCGGCATAAAATCATTCCAAGCCGAGGATTATCTGGGACCTGAACCTTTACGATATGCAGATTTTCTTAAAAACCTGAATTGTTTCAAATTTGCAATTTGTGATATTTTCACAGTTCCTTTCCTCGACGTAAGGTTTTCACAGTTGATTTGTATCCTAAAACCCTGAAACGCAATGTTCGACTTCATTTGAAGGAGCATGTCGTTATTTATTAACAAAGCTAGGGTTCGTGAAACAGCAAACATTCCCAGTTGGTGACGTGAGAAAAACAGCAATATTTCGTTACAAAAGAAGTTGTTAACGTAAAAGCTGGGAAGTATTAAATCAAATGATAAATCACGCATAGTAATTCGTCAACATAAATGCCCAATGTATCTGTACTCCACTAGTGCCATGCATGAGACAGTCCACAACAGCAACAAATATCGAAATACCAAAGTACATATAAGTTATTCAGTCGTTAAGCCAAGGAAAATACCATACACATATGTGGGTTACGCAGCAATGAAGAAACAGTACACAGGGATCGCTTTTTGCATTAAATTGCATGTAGCTTCATAATAACCATCAGACAAGAAAAGCGGAAGGAAGAAAACACACGAAAGACACAAGGATCTCATAATATAGACAAGAAACAAAATGATACAGACTGTGACGATTTTCTGAAACCACGGTTAAGTACTTTTTTTAGCATTAGCCTGCTGCACTGCCTCGCTGTGTCAAGAAGTCACCTAATATGCTGCTGTTGTGCGTAACCCCAGTATCTACGCTTTTATATGGTAAAGTATACAACGCAGGCCCTCCACAGGTTTTTCCTTGTCCTCCTTTCAGAAGAACGCGTTTCTTTCTTTGTGGCATCTTCGCAGTCTGCGCCCTGAAGCAAGGCACCATCCACTCAACGAACTCTGAACATCGCATGATGATAATGGCCCTACACGCTAACCTGGTACGTGAGCATACCCTGTCCACTCATTCCAAAAGACGGTTTGTATAAAACAGTCTGCCAACTCAATATTTCTTTCAACCTATACACTCGCTTAGACAGTAAAAATGAAATGCTATTGATTCCACAATAAAGTCGTCGGGATAGTTGGTTTCGGGGCAGAGGTTCATAAAGACGATCTCCCACACATGAAGCAAGATGTTCAACCACTCGACAGCCATATTTGGTCAAACTACTGGAATAGTTCCATTACAAGAGTGATCAGAATCATTTGGCCGCTAACCATAGGATGTTCAGTTCAAACCCGATTCAAGATAATGCGATAGTACGAAGTATCGGTTACATCCACAGCCACATTTTAGAAATCGCAGAAACAACGTCTCCCTTTATTAACAACTGGAACGTAATGCGCAATACCCAAGGGCAATCTGCCCACGTCGGTGTAAACTGGAAGTCCTTTCCGATCAAGGAAACGCCAAATACATAAACTCGCAAAGAAGCTTAATTATGTCGTCCAATCTTTGTGGTGAAACATTACGTCCATTTCCGCGAACCATAATTCAAGCTGACCAGAACGGCAATTAACCATTAGCTGCCTGAAGGTCGCTTCGTTTTGAAAATTAATGAGACACAGCAAGATTCGAGGTTTTCACGGCGGTAAGTCCGAAGATGGCTGTCTTCTGGGTTGTAGCGCCGTGTAGTCTGGTAGACATTTACCGACATTTCAGACTACACGGCCCTACAACCCAGAAGACAGCCATATTCAAATGATAGATAGGTTTAAGGACAACTTACTAAACTTCTACACATTACAAATGCGAATTAAACATGAGACTGGCGGTAACCAAACACTCTTCTGCTACAATACCGACTGAGGACGAAGGCAAGCAGTTAGGTCCATCCCTGTAATATGCAGTGGGAACTATACCCCGTCCACCACAGCAGACAGGTGCGAACTATATACATAAAAACATTTCATTCAAACAACAGGAAATAACACTACTAAAATCGAGGTTAAACTAGTTCCTGTTTTTAAAGTTCTGGCCTTAGTTTATTGGGATACAAACTACATTAAGAAGGGCAACTGATGTTGTGAATAACCAGACCAATTCCCTGGAAACTCATTATCCACCCTACATTTCCATACATATTCATTTCCAAAAAAACACATTTTTCAATGACAATAAAACGATATTTCAAAATTAAAATTGATGACAAGAGGACTGTAGTTTTATTGTATGTAAAAATGTCTCTCAGGCTAAGTATGTCATAAAGGTGTACCGTGAGTGGTAAAACTCATGGATTAACCACAGCACTGGATGGACGTGAGCGGTAAGGTTCACGATCTGGCCGTCATAGGCAGAATCCTTGGTGTACACTGGGCAGGATGCTAGCTGGTTCCTGGAGCTGATTCAGATGTGGCGCTAAAGATAGTCATACCCTGGTTTATGTAGCCTGTATTATACTACTGACAACTACAATGGGTCAAATGTAGTTTTAATTTGGCATGGTTTGTTCAACCGAGCATTACAACAACCACCGTAGACTGCAGCCCACACTCATCCCAACATAAATAATCTAATTTTAATTGTTACATTTATCCAGAAAAGTCATATTTGCTTTAAAAATTATCCCTGCAATCTGAGGGCCAAACACATAATGAAAGTATAGAATGCTAACAAGGAAATGTGGATTGAAAAGAAGTTAATGTGCAGAAAACACCCATGTTAATAATGAAAGCTGCAATAAAACAGATTCGCAGAAAAGACATGTCAAGTGCATGTGTCCACTGCCAGGGCATGGCTATTTGGACATCTGCACATTCACTGTTTCACAAACAAAAACTGCTCACTTCTCTTGTCTGTATGTAGATAATATTTGCTCTGTACACCAGCTAATTATAGAAGGATACAGTGTGTTCAAATTGTATGAGAGTATAAAATGATTTAATTCAGGATAATGGTAACCATACAGAAAGGAAAAGGATTTTGGACTGGAAAAATTCATTTTTCTCATATTATAATTAGAGTTTCAGATTCTGAGTAATGTAGGTTTGATCTTTAAATGCCCTATAAATGCACATACACATACATAAAAACTTCATCACAATATCACTTCAACATGCCAAGAAAAGTTAATTACCAAGAACTAGATCTGTCATGGCATTTAATAAATTTCACACAACAATCTAATTGCAAAAATGTTTTGTGTCAACTAAACAATTAATATGGAATGTGTAAACAGCGTCTCAAACGTTACATCTCTGTGTCTTTTAAGCCCACATTCATATAAAAATAGTAATGTTTTCAGTTACAGTAATGTTTCTCATTATTTACTCCAGACCCCTTTAACAAGTCTCCTGACACCTACTCCCTTCCTAATCTTGACCTACTCAAAGTGTAAGTTTATTCCAACATCCTTCACGATGACAAAAGTTTTAATTACAACTAAGTAACTGCAGACCAAACGAAACTTTTACAGAATCAAAGCACATCAACTTCACTGGAAGCACAGCCTAAGAGAAGGAAGGGCACAAACTCCATAAAATACTATACATGACACATGCTCTCCTTACAAACTTGGTAAATTATGCAAAAAAGTAAAATGTTCACAACAGATAACACTGAATAAGAAATGTTGTGTTCTAGTATAAAGATTCCCTACATCATTTATTAGAAATTAAATTAAATAAATTTTAAACCAAATCATGTGCACCAGTGCAGACCTACAAGTACAGATGGCAATTTCCAGTATCTAGCAAAAAGCAAAAAGACACATCTGCAAGGCTTGTACTTTAGTATAATGAATTCTTCTTGGGCTGCCAGCCATGCCACATTTCGAGAACCATCATTGTCCTCATCCTCAGGGCACCGAAGTGGTTGGAGATCCCATCCACTGTCTGCATACCTGTCTGAGCCCCATATTCATGGCTGCATGTTAGCCAATAAGGCCTGGTGTGTGGAGTGATGTGCTTGCTATTTTTAGCCCACCTTACTGATTGGATAGCAAGTTCATCACTGGGTACCAGGTCTGGCTCAATGTGAAATTACTGTCTGTTGAAGTTACCGCAGTTCAGCCATATTTCAATTGCATCCTTTACAAGGTGGTCCATATAACCTGCTGTTTTGTCCAACATGGTGGTAATGCTGAAGTCACTGCAATGCCCTGTGTTTATGCTGTGCTCCATAACCACAGTCATGAATACAAGGCTTGGGCAGGTATATATACAACATGGACGGGATCTCCAACTTCGGTACCCTGAAGACAATGATGAAGATTGTTCTCAAAACACTGGTGTTTTCACTTGACATCACTGGTAGCCTGAGAAGAATTCATTATACTTAGTTGCCATGAAAGCTTCAGTTTGTGGTATTTTAGTGTTTCCTGCAACAGGAAGGATAGAAGTTTTCACTGAAATTCAAACTTTCCGCCTTCCTTTCTTTTGTTTTAAGTTGAACACTAAAAATCATTCTTGTAATGATGAGATATTGTCAAACACTATTGCTTCCCTAATTCTTTGGATCTCACAAACTCAACAAATCTAGACTTCAAAGAATGCTACACAAGAGCAACTGAACAATCCATATTAGTAATCATTAGTAAGTGTTTAAAATATGCTTCCGCTTCTGAACATTATACTTATCAAATCATGCAATGAAATTAACATAAATAGCTGTAATAAGTATGCAACTGTAATCCTGATTTGGTATTTTATTGTACCAAGTGTTCATATATATATAGTGACATGTTCTACATCATTGGCTTGTACTATGAAGATATACTGGATACTGGGATGACCCATTCTTCAAGTGCCTGAGCACTGCGAGTCCCAACTTTTTCGTTGGCTTGATCTATAGACATTCGGTAGGACTCCTTGAATGAGGGATTGGCTCGTCGCAAGGCCTCTACCTCTACACAGGACAGCACAACACAGAAGAACACGGACAAACATCCATGGCTTGAGAGGGATTTGAACCCACGGTCCTAGTGACCAATCGGCACAAGGCCCACACCTCAGACCACATGGCCACTGCAGACCCCTATGAAGATATATGGAATGTAAATAAATTCAAACTCTGATATCATGGGCATATTGCCTAAAGGGCATACAACATGTTTGCACAGTCAGAGATGCAACAGCAAACATTGGGGACATATACCATGACAGAGGGCCATAATGCTGATGCTGCTCTACACAGAGAGACATACACCTGGCCTTACAAACACGAACAATACACATTTGTCAAACCAAATAAGTATAAGAAATCAGTCTCCTGTAAATCAGTAATTTTGTTGATACGCATTTGTGGCATGATGCCCTCGATATGCTTTCACGTCACTAAGTTTCATTCATGTGAATGTTACACAGAGATATTCTGCATCACGTGAATTCTTGTTAACATCATTGTATAGATGTATTAATTATAATGAAATATTAAAGTAGGCCTTGAGGTCAAGCACCTTGTACAAACATAATGAACTGGTGTATTCTGAAACCTAAGATTGTCGTTATAAAATAATTTTCATAACAGAATCACCGGCATTTTTCTAAGGTGTCTTCATACGTTTTATGGGCTTAAACTAAATCTACCTGTCTAGTGTCGTACGTATCCTGTGGCTCCAAATCCTGAACCGCGATCTTACGTCGATCTTCATTCCGATCCATAATGCAAGCATCAGCAGTTGGATGGCAATTTTTAGACTCAGAATTTGCCTTTGAAAATAACTTAGAAATAGCGCTCCACATTCAACAACTGACACAATTTATCACTGGTCTCCTTGTCATATCTTTATCTAGCCTACGCACAATACTTGACAGACAAACTTTTACATTACAAAAACTGAACTGAGGTCACTTGCGTCATAATATGCGACCATACTCTCACTCATCGACCGCATTTTAATGGATATAACATTTTATACAAATAGGAATTAAAATCTAGACTCATATTTCTCATTCGCACTGTCAACGTGAAAACCCGAAAGAGTTCTGAAACTGGAAACGAAAATCCACGATCCCAGGTATTCGGAGAATATTTTCTACCACTCAACACAGGTATTTGGAAAATTCACAGCTGGGTGTATCTCTGAATGAATCACACTTATGTAAACATTGTTTCAGATGTGATTATACTAAGCATATATAGACATATAAACCGAACGACTTAATTTTAGTAAAACAGAGCAAACACCTCACAAAGGTATGAAGTCGACGTGATACAGAACTAAAATGACAACTGACACAAAATAATGAAATTTATATTTTCTGTTTATGTCTGCAGATGTCATACATTGTGGGGACGACATATTTGATTACCGAGAGATGGCAGTGTATGTAGTATCTGAATCGATTTATGTCGATATATTATATCGTCACACTTGCAGCGAATAGAATAAACGCGAGGCGCAAGTGACACCAACGAAAACTGTACGGTTACAAGAAAAAAGCACAGATTATCAACAAAGAATATAATCACGTAAAAGTTTATAACAAACGAGATGAACATCTTCTGGGGTGTTGCATCGTGTAGACTAGTATAAATCGACTACGCAAAGGGGCTAACGAGCTCAGGTTGATGGAGTATGTAATTTTGCCATAAAGGCGTCATCCGTGGCATCTGTCAGGCAGCATTGAATGACTCCAAATGTTTATGATACATGCATCATGCGCAAGAATTAAATTCAATATGTTTCTGGTTCAGACTACAGATGCAAGAGTACTGATAATATGGTGATAATCTGGATCAGTGGGTCAAAACTTTAATAACTGAAAAAATACACATTTTATTGAAATGCTGCAGTCCTGCTCTGTATTTCTGTTATTTAAAGGGCATTGTACATAATTACAAACACATAACAATGCGGAAAATTTGTGAACAATCACAGCTGCATGGCTCTAGTGAGGTTATTATATTCAATAAAATCTTCTCAGGCAATCACAGAGCACATGGGAAAACCAGCCATAGTTTAGGGACAAATTAAAATAATTTAATAAAAGGTTATAGACTGGATACTATTGGCTTGGGATAAATTTCAGTGTCTGTTACATAGTAATGAAACTCTGAATTCCACAGAATGTGGGGAATTTGTGGAACAATTATGCAACTATCTGCCTCTTATGAACTAAGTTTACATGTGAGGATCTTTTTAAATATTTGTTGTAAAAACAGGATGTGATGTGGACAAGATTAAATTGGCTTGGGATAGAGATCATGGCAGGCTTTAGTAAACACTGAATTAAACCAATGGAATTTCTTGAATAGGTAGATAACTCAACTTCTCAAACACTGTGCACCACAAAATTAGGTTATCCTAATGGTTCCTGCTATGTATTCTCAAGCAGAAAACCACAATTTTATATTACATTCACACTTCATTATCAGTTCTATGGGAGAATCAAGTTTAACCCACATTACTTCAGTTGGCTCTTGTACTTTGCCCCTGCTTGTTGTTTCAAATAAAACTTAATATCTATTGCTGTTTTACCATCTCCAAGTTACTGTCACTTCTAAAATTATCAGATTGAGGCTCCGATAATTTCATTCATATAAAAGTATTAGGCCTTGTACTTATGTCAGACTGCATTGTGTTTTGTTATCTCTCATACTTTCATAAGTGATCAATCGCCACATAAGCACATCATTTGGAATACATTTCTTTAAGTTTTCTTCGCAGAATCTTGCCTGTTGGATTCTTTGGTATTGCAGCTATGAATTCTACACCACCTTTTAAATGCTTATGTTGAGACACCTTTTCTGCCACAAATTTCTTCACATCATCTTCTGTGAGTTCTTCTTGTTTTGTTACAATGAAGGCTTTAGGGACTTCTCCAGACCTTTGGTCTGATACACCAATGACTGCTGCATCAGCAATTCCAGGGTGACTGCGAAGTATGTCTTCCAGCTCAGCTGGGGCCACCTGTACAGAATGCAATAACCACATTATGCCTTTGTTGCAATAATGGGGTTTTATTGGATTTATATGTAACAAGACTGAAATATTAATCTGTATTTTATACTTTCATTCATTTCCTTTAGATATATTACAAAGTAAACATGATTGGCAATCTTCCTTTTCTCACAGTAAAATTAATAAAATATGTGCATATGGACAAAAAGTAACCTGTTTGTGAAAATAGAAAATTGACGGAATGTCATTACCATGATTGCAGACGAGATAAAGAAAAAACACAAAATCACAACAAAACAGAAGAAAATACTGAGAGCATCATGTGAAAAGGGCATATCAATAAAATGACTGATTTATAGGAGACCAAATTCTTACACTTATTTGGCTTGATGAATGTGCATTATTAGTGGTCCCGTCTGTTAACTCTGTGTAGAGCAGCAGCACCATTACGCTCTTCTGACATGATGTACACCTCACTATTATATTTTGTTAGACCAAGTGTCTCTAATTATGCAGATATGTTCATGTGTCCTTCTGGTATGAAGTCCTTGATATATCACATCTTAAGCAGTTTGGATTAAAAATAAACTAGCATAAAATATCACCCCTACAACAGTAAGGTGGTAAATGTCATGTTGAGTGTATAACCCTCCTACTTCATATTTGAGAGGTCACATTTCATTCCTGGCTCAGACAATAGGTTCATGGTCTTCCTCAATCCCTCCAGACAAATGCTGGGATCATACAACAAGAGAAGGCCAAGACCACTTTCTTTCACATCGTTCTTGTATTGGACACTGTAAAACCAATGCAGTTTAAAAATATCTGTTAAATAGACCAAAGAAAAACAGTAAGAAACATACCTGTGATCCTTTAACTTTAATAAGTTCCTTATATCTGTCTACAATGTAAAAATTGCTTTCTTCATCATAGTAACCCATATCTCCAGTGTGGAGCCAACCAGAGGAGTCAATTGTTTCAGCAGTAGCCTGAGGATTGTTATGATATCCCATCATTACCTGGTGGCAACATGTTTACGTAGTTACATTACAGTAAATACATTATGATTTTATGTGATACAATATCAGACTTTTTGAACATGCATACAAATTCTTGTTTATACAAACAGTTGAAGTCTAATCTGCACCTTTCTTAATCTCTTTTCTTTCTGGGACATGCTATTATTCAGTTGTATCTGTAATCACAGATTACCTAATTTTTTATAAGAACCAGGTTACTAAATTAATCTGATTCAATTTATAGACTGCAGGTGTAAGACATGTTTGACATTTAGTGTCTCAAAAAAGGAAACTGTCACCTTTATTATGTTCTTAAGTATTTCTGCATTTAAATAAAAGTTTTGAATATTCAGCTACCATATTATCTTACCTGGGGACCTCTAATACACACTTCTCCAGCCTCTCCTGGTCCCAGATTCATGTTAGTATCCATGTTAATTATTTTCATCTCAGTATTAGGAATGGGTTTACCAGATGATGTGTACTTGGTGCTTCCTTTCTCTAATATGCACGCAACAGGAGAGGATTCTGTCAGCCCATAACCTCAAACAGGAAATATAAATGGGTATTTGCCACTGTCTCATTACTGAGATAATTTACTTCAACAGAAGTTTTGGTCCACAGTCCATACAGGTGAATGCTGTAATCAATACTGCAGCAAGCCATAAGAGACATATTCTTAGCCCATATTGATTTATAATCCATTAGCAAATGTGTGTGATATTAAACTATAAAAATGAAAAAAACTACTTTCCATACATTCTGGTTCCAGTTAACCTTCTATAAGCTGATTTAGATTTTATCATAGTAGGTTTTTGCAGGAATAATTTGCACATAGGACATTATTTCAAAGTTGTAAAGCATAATCAAGTGAGTGAAAGAAACTGAATCAAACCCTTGAGGTGATAGAGGCAACAAACACCTTTGAAACTTTGGCAAACTTCTACACGGCACAACATGCCAAAATAAATGCATGTAGCCTAAATACAATAATTTCAAATTATTAAATTATATAATCATTTGAACAATTTTGTTTGATTAGGTTATGTTCCTTTAAATGCAATTATTTTTGTTTTTCAGGAATTATATTATGTAAATTATATATGGCTCTCAAGACTTCTCTACTGTGCAGGCAACAGATAAAAAGGTGTGTGATGAAATTAAATACCTTGACTAAATGAAACATGTGGTGCCTTCTTTAGCAAGCGTTCCACATCATTTAGACCAACAGAAGCTGCTCCGTTATTAATTAAAGTCACTGATTCAAAGTAAGAACTCTTAACATCAGGATGTGAGGCTATGAAATGGATCAAAGGAGGCACCAGATATAGCGTGGTAGCCTGCAAAATAAAACACAAAAAAATTAATTTGCAACTTCCTTGTTCCATGATTAGCCTGGAGTGCATCATACAATGTGTTGCTCACATAATTCAATATGTATACAAAATGCATATATCAAATTTTGCTTTTTACTTGTAATTTTTGTACATTATGTTCTCAATTTATTGTTTGACCTTTGCAAAAGGTGAATAAAATGAACACAAATAAGGGAGTCTGTGTCAAGATGTTCCATCTCCAAAACTACTATATAGATTTTAATCAAATTTGATAAGTGTTTATACAAAGAATTGAGAAATTTAATTCTGCCTCTCACTTTACATGATCTCAAATCAAACTCTGAAGATTTTCTCAAAGTACAAAAAGAAATCTGTACATAATGTAAAATACAGATCTTACAAACATTTACAACTTTTATTTTAAATACTTTAATATGGTGAAAACTCAATTGGCAATAAACTGCTTGAACAGGCAAGTAATTTCTTATTCCATGCAGCATTAATATGTAATGTGATTAGCTTTGCAACAGAGAGTTTGTATCGGTAATAAATGCACATCAAGACCAATCACAAATACAAAATCACAAAGTATGCATTTAGTAAATAAGTGTACAACAACAAAAACTTGCATTCTTGACTGGTTTGTTGCTTCTCACATATCTAAATTCATATATAAGGAATTCTACTAGGATAAACATTTAATTCAATTAAAGATGGCTGTCTTCTGGGATGTTGCACCATGTATTCGGGTAGAAGTTCACCAACGTTTCAGAGGTCTTAGCTGCCTCCATCACCAGGATATCGCCCTGCCCAGAAAACAGCCATCTTCAGAATCACCGCCGTGAAAACACCAAATCCTACTTACTTCATTTAATCTGATGATAAACACTAATATTATCATCAGTTTTATGTAAACGTTCATTCTTCTTATTCTTATTCCTTGACTCCGCAACCCAGTTGTGGGTCTCCGCCGCCTCCTGTTCGGAGGTTTCCTAGTCTTTGAAGTGTGCATTTGTGAGTAGTGAGTGACTAGCCCACTCTCTCTGCACAATTTCTACTCAATTTGACTGCTACAGCCATCTAGTGGTGAATCAAGAGAGACTTCGGCAAATTTTGCTTATGAAACATCTCTTTCATGCTCCGCAACGTTCTTTTACATGCCGTAAATCTACGACATGGGACCGCCAGCTCTACTACCCCTCTGAAGGCAGATTTTTATCACCTTAAAATTCCATCAACCTCGGCCGGGTTTGAATCCACAAACCTTGGGTCCAGTGGCAAGCACGCTAAACACTAGTCATGTAAATGTTCATAGCATCATAAAATGAAGGTCCAGTAACAAATTCTGGAAGTCATCTTCCTCCTTTATAATCCCATCACATATGGGATTTTAAGGCAGCTTTAATATTTACCTTATTCTTAGCAATGGATGATAAGAAGTGCACAGGCTCAAACTTTGGTATTGTAATGATTTTTTGACCATAGTAAAGTGAACCAATGGCTAGAGAAAGTAATCCATAAATGTGGTAGAAGGGCAGAAGAGCAGGAAGAACTTCTTGACAGCCATCTGAAACAAGAGTGGTAAACAATCAGGTATGAAGGCCAATTTATACTGTAGTAATAATTGCCCATAATTCAGGCCTCCACTCAAATAATGCTGAATGACATTTTTTGGTGAAATTTCCTCCCAAATTTTGCCCTCAGTCTTTTGCAACATAGCATTATTCCAGGGTAGCCAACTTATGAATCATAGTTACATAATGATATTGTAACCATCAGCAAATCTGAAATTGACACCTGAACAACACTTACAGCAAACAATAAAAGGCAAAATTTATAAAGAAGTTCTGCCGAAAGTGTTCCAAAGAACATTATTGAATCAGAGGCCTCAATTTTTGTATCTCAATTGAATGGACTTTGAATGTATTGACATGTCAATTCTATGCTAAAACAAAATTAATAGAAGTATTTTATTAATTAGCATTAATTTTGTTCTGTCATATGTCCTACATCTTTAGCTCATCTCAACCTCCTTGACTGCATCGTTGTAACAATATTTAAAGAACAAATCCATAAAGACAGGGATGGGAAATTATTTTTACCTTGAGGCCAGTATGTTTTTTTTAAAATAATAATGGGTCATAGTCTCACAATGAAAATTCTGTTGTTCAAGAATTGTGAAACAGGTACAAATTAGCCACCCAAAATATTTTATATATACCAACATACAGTTTATAATAATTATATTATTAATAATGAATTTGAAATTATGGAAGATGTTTAGGCATACTGAATCTGTAGAGAGCACTTGTTTGACTCTTTATTCCCATTTGTAGGTATGCGGCAAAGACGTGAAGCTGTAAATATTTATACTAAATACCCAAAAAACTTAAATATCTG